AACACAGACACACACACAGAAACACAGACACACACACACACACACCTGTTCCTTTTATACTTGCCTGCAGTGGACAATTATTGGGCAAGATCGACCTCTGTAGCATTTGTTGACCTTTCTGTAAAAGAGAAACAGGAAAAATAAATATTAAAATATATATCTAAATAATAATAAATAATATTACGCCATAACAGGCCTGAGTGAGCTTTTGAGGACGAGCTCATCCCTCAGAGTTGCCCAGTCAAATGTACATGGGAAATGCGACAGAAAGCCCTCGTCTCGCATGTTCTACCTGACGGACTGACGGCGTCCACAGGCCTCCTACAACTCCAGGTCTGACCATCACGCAATTAAAATAATTTAATTGCGCCTTCAAATTAAGCATAGCTTTATCGGGGGTGCGGAGCACTGAGGTGAGACCTTTGCAAAAAGAATTAAACATGCGCAGACCTCACTGATGTGCAGGTCCAAAGGGTCCGTTCCCATGGCGACAGCCAGCCTGTTAATTATTCTGTACCCACTGTTTTTAATGCACATTTAAAACACACGGAATTCAGACCAACCTTTCAAAGACGACTTAAAAAAAAGTCATCTAAGAATGATTAATTTCAACGATATATCAACCTAATTATATATTTTTTTGCAGAATACATTAAGAATTCTTTGAGGTAACAAATCATAAAATCGTTCAGTAAAGTTTAATGTCTATATAAAATATTTGAAGTTAAAAGAACATAATTATACCAAGTATGAAAGATGCTGTTTTATCATTTTTACAAACCTGAGTTTATGACTGAAAAATCCAATAAAAGGACTGAATTCAGGTTGTAATTAGCTGCCAGGGGAATGAACTCCCTCCCCCCCAAATACTTTCAATAACCGCAAATGCCCTGAAAACCTTAGAAATAAACGGCATACGTTGTAGGAAAAGTCTGTGTTTCCTCAATAGGAGCGATGACATACATTAGGGAAGAACCGACACAAGCAGCTGATCATCTCGAAAGCCAATCAGATCAGAGGAAAAAAATAAACACCAAGTAAGCAACAGTTGACCCACAGAGACACGTCACCGATGCAAAAACCAGAAGCGTAAATCATTGAAAGGAATCAGGTATTTAGTCTGCCGGCCGATAAAAATGCAAAGAGGAGATAGTCATGCAAATCATTAGCGAAAGCGAAAGGGCAGAGGTGGTCAGAGGCTGTAAAAAATAGGACAGGGAATTCCCATAAGCCCCTGCTGCAGAGTTACAGTCTCCAATGATCACTTTTGTGACTATGCAACTGGGCTCATATTACTAGCTGCAACATCACAAAAATGACACTGGCAACCGCTAATTAGCTGGCGAAAAGGGATACAAATTAAAACAAAAAAAGCCCATTCGGTCGGGAGTCGTGTTAGTAAATACTGCCGCACGCCCGGAAAGATGAGGCCGCAGTTTATATCTCTGAAAGCTTCTGCGTGTACTTCCATTACTTTCTACCTTTGTGCTAATTTGCTCCCTGTAGGATTTAGGAAGCATTTAATTAGGTGTAACCGCATGTATCGAGCAAACCTCCATAGCGACGAGCCACTTAAAGGTGAGTGGTGTGTTTGGTGAGGCGGGATCCGATTTTAATTTTAAAATAAGGAATCTAATAAAAATGCATGGGCACGAAGCGTAGACTGACGCGTTAGTGAGAAGCTAATGAGGGCAGCTGTGAAGCTGTGAGTATATCAGTCTGTACGTCTCTGTACTGTCTGTCTGTCTGGGTAAGTCTGACACCATAAACAATAATGCACAGATATATGTCTGTCAGTTTGTCTGGGTATGCATCTGTGTGTGTAACACTGTGTGCGTGTCTTTGTCTGTGTGTCTGGGTGTGT